GCCGAATGTTGTGTGACGCAAATGCTGCGGTTGCAAGGCATTGTGGGACAGCATTTTCTCCTCTCCTTTTGGTGAGGGAGGTCCAGTGGTTCCTAAGCTAAAGGATGTTATAAAGGAAGTTTCAATCCTCCTTTCCTATCATCTAGAGCAGGGGTCAGCAAACTTTTTGATATGTGCCATTTATAAAAAAAAAATGTGATCAGTGTGCCAAATCCACATTAAGATCACTATGACTCGCGCATGCACGTGCACGGTTGTGGCATGACCACCCAAACAGAAAGATATGGACACAAGATGTGTGCAAATGTATTTAGTTTCCTATCCATGTGAACATGATTTAAGTGGGGGGTGGACCTCACATCCTGTAGGGGGGTCCGGGGGGCATCATTACACAGAACCTTTATCTGGACAAATATCCATCATGAAGTCTGAAGCAAGCATGGTATCCCATATAAGATCATAGAAGTGACGGTGGTGCAGGGGCAAATAAGCATCTACCAATCAGAGGGAGTGCAGTTCAATCCAACTCCCTGCAGTCAGGGCGTATCTTGCCCAAGGACACTTGGGCAAGATACTTAACCCCAATTGCTCCTGTAGACAAGTCTATGGTGTTGAAGTGTTCATTTGTCCTTACTTGCCATTCTAAGCAGTCTCTCGTGTGGCTCACGTCATGATGAATAATTGTATATTCCGGAGTTGGGGTGTTTAGAATCTGTACCAGTCAATCTGGTCTGAGTGCCAGTTAGAGTTGGCCATTTGTGCTCATTAATCCTAACGTAGCCTGTTCCTGTGTGTTGTGGCAGCAGCATCATGTCAGTGAACCCTCCGAGCAGCAATGACGCCTGCCTCAGCATCGTGCACAGCCTCATGTGCCACAGGCAGGGCGGGGAGAACGAGGGCTTCGCCAAGCGGGCCATCGAGAGCCTGGTGAAGAAGCTGAAGGAGAAGAAGGACGAGCTGGACTCGCTCATCACCGCCATCACAACCAACGGCGTACATCCCAGCAAGTGTGTGACCATCCAGAGGACGCTGGATGGACGGCTGCAGGTATAGGTGCTCCTCTAACACACAGCAGCAACAATTACATATCACTGTTGTTATCATTTATTCTAGGTTTCTTCCTTCTGCGAATGCAATTATAATTTTCTTAAATTAGGATTTTCACAGTTTAATTTGCATTGTCATTTTCCATTCAAATCGTATTCAATGTTCAGAGCTGTACGGGTTGCCTGTGCAAGTCTTGTTAGTTGTAATGGCAAACATTTTGGCACTGAAAAGTACATATTGTTTTGGGTTTGTGATATTCTTATATTATTGTATTTTTCATGTTTTAAAGGGGCCCTATTATTCTTTGGGGGGTGTTTCCTCTCTTGTAGTGTGAGCTATAGGGTTTTGTGCATGTTATTATGTCTGCAAAGGCAAAAATGGCCTGAAATGCCTCCATTGGACTCCTTTGTTTACTTCCATAACATAGAGACATCACTATGGAACAGAGCCGGCCAGTTAACCAATCAGAGAGACTGGGCTCTGGTTTCAGACAGAGGGTGAAAAGAGGTGCAGCAGCACAGGCAGTATGAGAGAAATAAAGAGCTTTTTGAACGTTAAAGAATGGAATGATGTGATATTAGAGTACTAATATGAATCAGAAAATTAGCATTAAAGGGCCCCTTTAATAGGATTATGTTATATCACTTCTGAATGGCAGGCTTTTTTCAATTGAAGATATAACGTTACTGTATTTCTGGTGAGCATGATGGAGGCTAACATGATGCTGTGATCTCTACTCAGGTGGCGGGGAGGAAAGGTTTTCCTCACGTCATTTATGCACGGTTGTGGCGCTGGCCCGATCTCCACAAAAATGAACTCAAGCATGTCAAGTTCTGCCAGTACGCCTTTGACCTGAAGTACGACAACGTCTGCGTCAACCCCTACCACTACGAGAGGGTGGTGTCGCCTGGCATCGGTACGTCAGCTTCATACTTCTCAGGTTCTGCTCTCTGATTTAGCACTAGCAAAAATGTATTATTCTCACCCCGACTTTTTGTTGTTTCTGATGCATGATAGTGACGTTTTGATCTCACGTATTTCTGTCTTCTCTCACAGTTGGTCTCAGCCTTCAAAACACAGGTGAGCCTCATACCACTGCACCACATCATGATTACTGCAAACTACCATGTCTTCTTTCAAACTGTACCTGCTTGAACAACGATTAGGCCAAGGATTGTTTTAAAGGATCAGTGTGTAATGTGAAATGGAATATAGGAAATTATAAAAATTGAGGATTACAATGAATTCCTCTTTGATGGTCACACACATGCACATTGCACACACAGTGAAATCTGCATTTAACCCATCCTAGTATAAGGAGCCGTGGTCAGCTACTATACAGCGCCTTGGAAGCAGTGTGAAGAGACTTGGTGCCATGCTCCAGGGCAGTAGTCAGGAGATGAACTGGCACCTCTCAAAGTACAAGTCTACTCTCCATGCTTGGTCCTTTCTGGGACTTCAACCAGCAACTCTTCGCTTCACAAGCCCAGTCCCTACAGACTTTAGCTACATTCGCTCCAAAGTAATGAATGTTATATTCAGAATTATGTTTTCATTAGTCAATAATCACCTGAAAGTAGGAGTTGTGTTTTTCTCAACTCTACAGAAGGAGCCATGTGAAACGGCAGTCACAACGTTGTTTGAAATCTGCAACTGCAAAGCTAGATGCTGCCAAATCTTGCACATTGTCACTTATAGTCAACACTTTGTATGCAGTCATTGCATTTGTTACAGCTACTGTTTTATGCTTTCATTGCTTTAACATTTTAGTAAATAAGTAAGTAAGTAAAGGAGCAAGTAGCAAGGTTGTCATATATATGTATATACACAGTACATGTGTACATTTTACTCCTCTAAATATATTTTAAAGTTTTAGTTACTTTACAGATTCAGATTATTAGCTATTAAAAAATAAATTTCAATTCATAAATAAACATTGACATATAATTATAGGTTAGCTTATCCAGCATCAGTATACATCCTTATTCAAATCAGCTCCAGCTTTAGCAGCAGTGGTACACACATTAATGTATCAATATTCATAATCCAATAATCCAAATGTATTATTCCAAAATAGGCCATGACGCATACTCTTACTTTTGGTACTTTAATAACAAATGTTTTATTCATATTTAGAATTTTACTTAAGAAATACTTTGAGCTTAAGTAATACTAAACTAGAATGAGTAAATGCTAAAGCCTTTTTCTCTCATGCACTCTGTCATGAATGTGATGGCCTTGTGTGAATAAGCTATCAAGCCAAGTATGAACTGAATGCTGTCATAACATAACGACTACAATAGTGCTGGGTTAAATGGTATGATCCTTTCGAAGCTTTCCTCTCTGTGTGACCAGAACAGGGCGAATGTCACACAATGCCACCAGATTTCAGATTGACATGGTTAGACCTACTTCTGATTATAGACTAACCAAACTGAGAGTGCTGCATCTATGCTTTCATCCTTGACCACACTGAACATGTTTTATTTAGTTCATTTGATTTATATATTATCTTAAGACTTTCACACAACATCTTATCATGTCAGTACACCATATCATGTTATCATTGATTATCATAAACAATGTTGGTTTGGCCCCTTCAGTGATTTCGTGGTGAAAAAGGACATATATTGAGATATTGAGCACCAATGAAATGGTCTGATAACTTTATGTCCAACACACTGCTGTACAGCGTAGTGACTGTCCCTCATGCCCGATAGCAGCAGCCGGCGGCGGCCTGATCAAAGAGGAGTACATCCATGACTGCATACAGATGGACCTCCCGCCTGGCATGCCTCTGTCTGACCACCAAGCAGCCCTGAAGCTCCCTCCTGCAGACCTCTACGGGCAGCCACAGCTCTCCTCTGAGCCCCATGGACCCCCACCCGTTACCAGATACAACCTGCCTGTCTCACCCAAAGGTCAGCTCCTCATCATCATCATTCTGTGTTTACTATCACATGGTTAACAAAGACTGGCAGAGCCTCCTCCCAGCATTTCATCTAAAAAATGCACCCAGCACTATTTGTTATGTTTTTATAACAATCATATCTTGATATAATAGAAGAGAGCAGCGCTACGTCACTGCCTGGCAAATTGCTGGCCGCTTCCTCTTTCCGATGAAAACAAAGAATCTGCACTTAGCGGATATAATAGTTTTATCATCCTTAAAAGCTGCTGTGTGGTGTATTGAACATCAAACAAAGAAACATTTTCAGATTTTCTTTACACACGTATTGGACATATGGATGTTCACAAGAGAAACGGATCTGTACAATCTGTAAATGTTTTGGACTTTGCCACCTGAGGGTTGATGTGTGATGATGTGTAGCTGCTGCCAGCTGCGGGGGGGAGTCAGCCTGACTCTGTGTGCTCTGCTCTCCCTCAGTGTCCGGCTCCGGCTCCATGCTGCCTCTGCAGGGGGGCCACCCTGACGGACGGCTCCAAACGCCATCTCCACAGGCTCAGGGCATGACCCCGGCTCCACGACCTCTGACCCCGACCCAACCCACTCCTCAGCAACAGGCTGGCCAGCAACCCTCACAGCCCCCCCACCCACAGCAGCCCCCCCTACCTCCTTCTCACTCGCATGGACAGAACGGGTACAGCAGCAATAAACACTCTCAGAGCCAGGCGGCCTTCCACAGTGAGTCCACACACACACACACACACACACACACACACACACACACACACACACACACACACACACACACACACACACGCACACACACACACACACACACACACGCGCGCGCATACACACACACACACGCACACACGCACGCACACACGCACACACTAACATACAGTACATACAAGGATATATTGTCATATTTATATCTGACTGCTCACTTTACACAGACTTAAATAGACAAATACTGAATATGATGATATTAAAATTGGTATTTGTTGCAGTCTTAAATTGTATAAGTAATTGTATTTTTCCGCTCATGGATATAGAAAACTAAATGTATGTATGTAATCATTACATACATACACAAGCAGTCAGGCGACACGTTTCAAAGTGAAACAGATTGGATTATTTGACTCACTTAAGGGCAACTCTTAAATATTGAAAGTCTTTTTTTCATAATCAATAATAAAGTGGGGAATAAAGGAACATTGTAAACTGTTGCAAAGTACTTGGATGAACACTGCACCTGAGCTGTGGTGGAATATTCTTTTATGCTGGAATGTTCCTAAATGAGTGAAATGAAGTATCTCTGTCTGCACCATGAAGAGCTGGTGCAGTTGTCTAAATGCTAAGCAAAGCTGCTTCCTTTCTGATGTATTTTGAACTGAAGTCAAATCTACTTTTACCAAAGGAAATATGTTGCCTTAACCACAATTCCTTATGGCAGCTAAATCTAAAGTGGTAGTCATGACATCCTATCACTATCCTGTTCAAATGTACACTTGTTGTTGTTTCTGAGTAGGTGTGATGTGTTTTGGACAGTGAAATTGTTCAGGATAGATGTATCACTGTTCTCATTTTATGAATAAAGTTGCATGAAAATCACAAAACTAAAACATGTGTCCACCATGGTGTTGGAGTCGGGAGGAGCTGATCATTTATTCCGGGAAATGACTCAGACCTACTAATTGACCTAACAGAAGTTATTGAGTCTATGTAAGTGTACTGCTTGGCTCAGACCCACCAACGTCAGCAAGATCTCACCTCTATTAACTCCCCGAAGAACCAGGTTCAATTAACTGCTGTTTAAATTCAGACGACCCGCTAAATCTGTTTAAGCGATCCCGAAGGATTTTGATATCAGCAAATGAGGTGTGGCCCTACCTAAGAGTGAGTGTGGCAGGGTGCAATCTGACCTTTGAAGCAGGAGAGGAGAGCGCAGATGCCTTTTAAGTTGTCCCAATCCAAAAGGTGGGATCAGTTTATTTGAAGAAAAATAGGTCCAAACTAATACAGGCTTTTTACCTTCTCTCTTTACAAAATTATAATCATACTAAACCTATCATGCTGTGATCATGCTCAAATATGAAACTTTAATTCACAGTTCACCCATTCAAGTCTTCCGACAAAATCCAAAAGGAATTTCCTCGTGGTGGCGAAGGTTCTCGAATTAGTTCTGAAATCCCGACACATTTAAGAATGGTTGGTTTAAGAATCCCAACACATTTAAGAATGGTAGGTTTAAGAATCCCAACACATTTAAGAATGGTAGGTTTAAGAATCCCAACACATTTAAGAATGGAC